CTCCTCCTCCTCCTCCTCCTCCTCCTTTCCCTTCCCTCCGCCTCCATCCCTCCAATGGAGAAGAAGAGTTGGATCCCGGAGTGAAGAAAGCCAGGGAAGAACAAGGAAGGAAGGAAGGAGGAGACCCACGCCTGTGGCTTCTTGTCTGGAGGGGCAGCGCGTCTTTTTTGTGAGGCTTTCTCTTCCCCTGCACCCTCCCACCCATCCATCGTGTTGGCGTGGGGAAGGAGTAAAATAACCATCATAACAACAACAAGAAAAGAGCCACCCAAAGGGGGAAGATGGCGAACGATTCTCCTGCAAAAAGTCTGGGGGAGATAGACCTCTCCTCCTTGAGGGTGAGTGGAAATGGGGGGGGGGCAACTGGGGAAGGAGGAGAGGGCGGAGCCCCCCTCTTTGCAAGGCCACCCTCTCCCTGCTTTTCTCCCTTTCTCTCCCTCCCGCTATTCACACAAAGCAGCGGGCGACGTCTCCTGTATGTATGTAGCGTGGCTTTGGTTGCTTAGGATTTTAGGGCGAGGAGAGAGAAAGGGAATTGCAGGCTAGTGGGGTGGATTTATTTATTTGTGGTTGTGGGGGAGAGTTGTGGCTGTGTGTCGCTGGGAAAGAGGCACAGAATGAAAGGGAAAAGGTTGCCTCTCCTCTGGAGGGGCCCTTGGTTGCCCAGTTGGCCCTCCCTTCCCCTTCCCTTCCCAGATGAGTCCAGTCTTGCTTTCCTTTGTTTGCATGCATTGGCATGCCTTGGGGGGGGGGGGGTCTGGAGAAACAGGGTGCAACAGCTGCAGGGCCAAGCAGCCCTCTCCTCCAGGCAGAGCCTTTTGGGAGACGGGGAGCCAGTCAGTCCTGATGCCTGATAAATATAATCTCCTCCTTGTCTTCTTTGCCTTCTCTTTCCCCTCCTCCCTTTCATTGTGTAGGATCCGGCTGGGATTTTTGAGCTGGTGGAAGTGGTTGGAAATGGCACCTATGGTCAAGTCTACAAGGTTTGTGTCCACCATTCCTCTCGATATGTGTACCCTGCCCACATTTCTCCCCTACAAGCCCCTCCCTTGATGGTGGCAGGCCTTCCTGCTCGGCAAACAAAAGTTAATGGAGACAGACCTATATCTTTGTGACATCAGCACATTGAGTTAGCCCCCCCCCCTTTTTTTATGAGAAATTGGCCAGGCCTTGAAAAATCAGTCTGGCTGGAAACCTTTCATTCAATTTTTTTCTGACTCCTCAAACAATACAGCCTTGTTATCTATCAGCCCTGTTAGTGCATTGGTGTTTCTGTCTTTCCGGAATGGCCCTGCCTTTCTTGAACACGGCCTAATTTCTCGCCGTTTTCCTTTGTTATGAACCCGTCAAGGTGTGTGAAGATGTGGAGTGTCTGGCGGAGACCTCTGGTGTCATTTGCTGTGTAGATGCAAAGGGGTGGGGTTGGAAAAGGGCAAAAAGAGCAGGGAAGGTTATTGTTAGTCTGGAGAACTGAAAAATGAAAAAAATAATAATCGTAGCATAACCTGCTTGACAAGTAGGTAATTTGGGAGGTGTAGGGGGAGAAAGGGATGCCGAGGAGCAGGGAAAGGGAGATGCTGAGAAAGATGTTGCTCTTTTATGTGGTTGAATGTGAATGAAGACACCTCCCCCCTCCACTGTGTGTTATGTAAAGGAAACAGATATTGGGATTTCATGGCCCTGTAATGTTTAGTCAGCCACATGACTAAGTTTTCCATCATGCCTTTTATATGAGTGGAATATAAAAGGCAAGCCTGGGGAAGTTTCATGGAGATAAAGGTCTAAAAGCAGTATGACAAGGTAACAAAGTGCATTTGTTGTGGTGTATGTACTCATTCTTAGTAAGCCTACTTTATATGTTTCTTAGGGCTTTTTCCTTATATGTGGATTTCCCTAAATGGCCAGTTGTGGTTCTCATCTTACATGTTGTTGTTCATATGCACCTTGGGGTCATTTCTGACTTATGGTGACCCTAACACAAGGTTTTCTGGGGCTGAGAGTGTGTGACTTGCTCAAAGTCACCCAGTGGGTTTCCATGCCCAAGTGGGAAATAAATCCCCAGATAGTGGTTGAAGTCCGAGGAGGGTGGGTTGAGCTCCCTCTGTCAGCTCCAGCTCACCATGCAGGGTAATGAGAAAAGCATCCCACAAGGATGGAAAAACATCAAAACATCCGGGCATCCCCTGGCAACATCCTTACAGATGGCCAATTCTCTCACACCAGAAGCAGCTTGCAATTTCTCAAGTTGCCGCTGACATGAAAAAAATAATAAAAAATCCCTGGTATCTAGGATCATTATCCAACACTCAATCCACTCCTACATTATGCTGGCTGTTATGTATACAGATAGAAAAACATGCAGGTTATTTATTTATTTATCGTGTCAGGAGCAAACCGAACAATTGCGTTGCATTTTTAAACAAACAAACAAACAAACATACAAAATAGAAAGTTGCAAGCTTGGTAGTTGATTAAATGTCCTTTGACTAGTAGCTGGAGTGCCTCTGGTACATGCAGGTACATTTATTGTACATCATTGTTTGTACTCCAACATTTTCCAGCCTGCCGCCTACCACACATGATGGACAACAATGCTTGCCATCTCCTAGATAGCTAGCTACCCAGCTTTTGTAGTCCAATCATATGGAAGGAGCAAAGTTAGAGGAGACTGGTGTTAGGGAAAACTCCCTAAACTATAGCAGAGCATCCAAAAACATAAACAGGATACTGATAGTTGAGCAATCAGCTCACAGCATGCATAGCTTGAAGTGCTGTGTGATGTGGCTGTACAGCATTTAGAGCTTAGGCAGGCAAAGATGCAGAGTCCAATCTGAAAAATCACAAAAGGTTTATTTACAATAAGAAGAAATAACTGCATTTCTTTGTGGTAAAGAATTGGATCTGAGCTACTCTAACACCCATCTCGTCTAAGGTTTCAAAGAGGGGAAAAATACCAATGACTACATCTCTCCTGACACACAAGCAGAGAGAGATCTCAAAGCACACAGCACATACTCTCCATACTAAGATGTAAGAAACAGAAGTCAGATTTAAAAAAAGCCTTTCAGTAGAAAAGTATATATTTTAAACAACCAATCAGAATGAGAGCAGAAACAGAGAGGAGAGAAGAAATTAGATACATCTAAGACATGGGGGAAGGGAAACTTTTAGTCTATACTAAAGTAAGTGCTCCTTGTTGAGGACTTGAGACTTGCGCAGTGTGGGGTTGAATTCCAACAACTGGCACAGAATCTGTTTTTATGTGGACCTGCCTTAAGGTGAAATCTTCATTTTGACCCTTCATCTTTCTTTTCTTGAACAACAATGTGCATGTTGCATTAGGAGAAACATAGCCTTGTGTGAGCCTGGGTGACCTGAAGGGGCTTTAGTTTTTCTGTAAATAAAAGGATCTGGATACCACAATGACTCAGCATCTGTCTGAATTAGAGATCTGATTTATAGCTGACCTTTTGTTACCTGTCTGATGTCAGTTTCATAATTTTTTCTTGGAATATCTGTCTGTGAGGCTTGCATCACCTGGGGTGTGTCCCCTTCCTGTCTCCCCACTTGCAGGGAGGTCAGTTGCACCAATGTATAGCCCGTGTTAAATCTAATCTATTCAGAATATAAATCAGTAAATCATAATATAAATTATTTTCTGAATTGACAGTCTGATTGCATATTTACTACAATATTTCAGGTTGTGAATACAGTACTTTTCTGTTTAATAAAAGCAACAGGCAATGTCTGTTTTCGCTTCATATACACAGAATGTGGTCTCTTCATGTAAACAGAGTATTTGTTGTTGCCATCCTGTCAGTATATACAAATAACATGCTATCAGTATATACAACTATGAAAAGGGGGACATATATGCTTTGGGATGTCTCTGATGTAGACAGTTTTGTTTTGGTAACACAGGATCAAAGCATCACAAACTGTGTTTACTCTGTATTGTCGAAGGCTTTCATGGCTGGAATCACTAGGTTCTTGTGGGTTTTTTCGGGCTATATGGCCATGTTCTAGAGAACATGGCCATATAGCCCCGAAAACACCCACAAGAACCTTGTGTTTACTCTTCTTGCACCAAAGCTGCTCCGTGTGCCTTCGTTTATGGCATGGCACAAGCTGCAAAGGTAGGTAGGTAGATACTAGATAGGTGGGTTTACAATCAGAACAGTTGAACCTGTCATTTACATTGATGGCACTGTACTATATCAACAAATATTGACAATAACAACAGAAAATGTGTTTACAAGTCACTGTTTGTTTTTGGAGGGAGTAGAGATGCCACACTGACAAACACTGGAAGGATAACCAGCACAAGAATGAAATCACAGATTGCTTTGGATGTTCTATCAATCTCATACTCAAACAACAAAAGACCTTGTACCATGTTCTTTGAAACAAGAATTGAGTTTAAACATAAAGTCTGTTTGGTGTACTTTGTGATTCAGGGGAAACAAATAGTTAAAGGCTTGGCTTAAGTTTCAGGGAGTAAAGTTGCTATTTGGGAGAAGAGGAAATATGTTGTCTAGAAAGCAGGGCATTGTTCACAGTGTGAAGAGAGGAGTCCTTCCTTAGGCATTTAAGGCCAACTGATTTCCAACTAAATGGCATGTAGAGACTTGTCCGTCAGTGTACATTCTCTTATCACAGAACAAGGGGCTGAATGTTCTGCTATGTGTGTTTTCCTGTGTTTATATTGTGTAGTCTCACTGCTCTGTTCGAGACAATAGAACAAAATAGAGGGGAAGTAGCTTCATGTAAGGCAGTCTGGTTAGCTAAACTAGAATGGTAGTACAAAGTTCAGTGAGTTATTTGGAGTTACCAGAAATGTATTTATTTCTAGCTTATTTTGCTTACTTTGAGCTTAAGTCAGGGCTGGACAAATGTTAACTCTCAGGTGTTTTTGGCTTCAGCTTCTGCCAATTGCCAATAACAAATTACTCACTTTTGATTTAGAAGTTCTAATGAAATCAGATATAGTAGTCTCTCTGTGGGGGTGGGAGGGGTTAGGGGCACAGGGTCCCTATTAAAGTGTAAGAACCATTATTGGAAACACTTTTTCTGTGAGAGAACACTTCTCTAGGCATTTGAAGGATTTGCATAGTGACTCTGTAATCAACTTCAGTTGTAAATCGACCATAGAATTTCGCTGGAGACTTACAGTTGAGTAGCGAGAACGTATGTGTTCAGCTCTTTGTAGGGCAGCAGCAAAGGTGGTGGCAAGTACAGCAGTACACTAATAATCAAATCCATTCATGCTTAACCCACAAAAATTGAAGGATGACTGCAGAATCTTATTTTGATCATTGCTAATCTTGGGATGTCAGCTGGTGAATGCTGTTAATTACAATATTCTATGCATTCTGTTAAATAAGATTCCAGTTTACAAGTGAGTCAAACTTGAACATACTTTTAGTGTGGAGTACTTTGCTATATATGTTAGTTTTCTTGCATATCAAAGCAATTTGAATGAGGTGCATTTATTTGTATTGATGTAGTTAGAATTATTGGATGGAAGATCATGTCCAAGAGTTGGGTTTAGGTAATCTCTTGGCTTCTATCTGTGCTGTAAATGTTTTTGTCAGATAAGCGAGATTCTACTGTATTCCAAAATCAGACTTCTGGTCCCAAGCCTTTTGGACAAGGGATACTCTGTCTTTTTCTAGTATAAAATGAAACAAGTTCTGTGTGTGTTTGTATTCATGCTTTCGTGTTAACACTTTTGTACGATAGATGAAACAAATCCTCTCCAGTAATAAAATCCTTCTTTTTTGAAGAACATTTTATAGCATTAATGGAACCCAAAAGATTATCACACCCAATTCCCTTTCATGTTCTAGCTCTCTTTCCCAATTCTGCTACCTTTATCTCTCCTTGCTTTTCTTTTCTCCTGAACTTTTCACAATCCCAGGCCTTTTTAAAGCCTGCAGATTTTGCTGCTGCTTATGACCATTCCCAGGTTCTTATGGTGCAG